AGAGGTCAACCCGGCCAGCATGATGTCGAGATTTTGCATCATCTAATTTCATGCTATGTGAAACGCACAGTCCACTTGCCTTTCATTTGAACACTGTTCAAGATAATATGACTCATCATTATCATTTAACAATGCATCATTACTAGGAGTAAATCATAGAGAAAATCATTTGAAATTCTTTTAACCATCATGTTAATTGGAGAGTAAGTTAAACAACACAAATGCTAATCAGGATAGGCACACTCCATGAAAAGCCTGTCTGAAAATATAATCATAGTTATTTTTTAAAATATATTTTTTTAAAAAATATATAAAAATAATAATTTTAATTTTTAAAAAATTATTATTAATATCGGTGTATAAAAATAATTTAAAAATATTAAAAAATATTAATTTAAAATAAAAAAATAAAAAAATATTTTTTTAAAAAAAATACTTTTAAAATATAAAAATATACGAAGTTGACCACAACAAGAGCCGAAAAAGAATCAGTCACGGCATGCTAACGGAAGACAGCAGTGGCATACCATGGTTATATACATTCTTCTTTTGGTTTATTTTAGGCAGGATACTACTATCGGCTGGCACGTTCCTTTTTTTAACTTGTTGGACAGAAGCTTTCACTTTCCTTGCTACGTTACTCGCATTTGGTAGCTCCGACTTGCCTAAAACTGGAAAATATCGTAAGAAAAGACGTCAATTTAAAATATTAATATTAAAAATAAATTGAAATAAATTTTCTGAAGTACTGCAAAATAATAGAGATAACTCAAGAAATTTAAAATTTGACAAAAACCGCTGCTCGTTGGAGAAAATATCACACAATTCCCATTTTATAACCAAAATCACGTTAATTAAAGCTATGAGCTTCTTAGGCACATAAGAGAATTTCTCGCTAAAATTTTGAGATACTAAAAATGATCACATATTACTTTCTACGATAAATTCATCATGACTGTTTAATTTTATTAAAAAATGAAATTTGTATGATTTTCAAAGTTATAACCCTCTTCATTATTAATGTCTAATATCATATCATAAAATTATTTTAATTTAAAATTTAAAATTTTAAAATTTAAATTATTGTTTCAGGTTTCAAAAATAGTTTATATATTAGTCTTCAAGAATCACAAAGTTACTGCATTAAAAAAAAAAAACTGAGAATACAATTCCATTGCAGTTAATTTTCAATATATTCCACTTACTTTTAGTTGTTTTTCCAGGACCTTTGCTACGAGGTGTGCTAGTACCAACCCCGTTTGACTCATTTCTCTTTCTACCTTCTTTGACAATTGATTTGGTTGTAGAAATCTTCTCCTTTTTCATAGCATCAGTTGCATTTAGTAGCTTTGAATTGCCTCCATCGATCAAGATCATTGTTACAGAGATGTCAGTTTCAACTATTAAGTTCAGGTTAATTGCAGTTTTTATTTTTCAGAATAGATAACTTACTGGGAATTTTGGGTTTAGGACCATTGTTACAAGATGGGCTGGTAGCGACACCATTTGCCTCCTTTCTTGTATTACCTTGTTGGACAGTCAATCTAAAAGAAGTCGTCTTCTCCTTTTTTGTTGTATTTCTTGATTCAAGTACCTTCGAATTACCTCCGACTGACCATTTTTACATGATGTCAAATAAAACTACTTAAATACAATTCAAGGGAAGTTATCTTTCAAAACATAGCACTACTTACCGGCAGTTGTTTTTCTTATAAGATGATTGTTCCTAGGTTTGCTGGTACCAACGCGATCTGCCTCGTCCCTGTTGCTTCCTTGCTGGGGATGAGGTGATTGAATTGCTGAAGTCTTCTCATTGCTCGTTGCATTACTTGCATCTAGTAGGTTTGAATTGCCTCCAATAAGACCAACGGTCACACAAAGTTAATTTGAAGTAATCAAATGAATAGAATCGATCAAATTCAAGTTATTTTTCGAAGCACATCATTACTGGGAGTTGTTTGAGGTGTCTTTGTTGCAACACCACTGGCCTCACTCCTTTCGCTGTCTTGTTGGACGGTTGATTGTGTGGAAGAAGTCCTCTTCTCTGTTATTGCTTCACTTGCATTTGGAAGCTTTGAATTCCCTCCAACATGACTGATCTTGTCACAAGACCTGGTGTAGTGTCCAGCTTTATGGCACTTCCCACACTTCAAATTAAGATCCATAGAAAGTGAAATTAAAATCGGAAAATAATGCTGGCTATCATTTTTATTTGAAAGTTCGTATATGTACATATAATGTTTTGAAAAACATCAACTAGGGAAGCCCAAGCAGGTACACAATACATACCTTCAATATTTTAGTTGTTGAGATTGTAAACTCCCATTCTATATAAAGTTTGTCACATGAGCAGTGTAATCACCGATCCATGGCACCACCTCCATCAATCGTCAATAATTTAAAGACTAATTTGTATACTCAAGAGTAATTAGGTATTGTGCTAATGATATAATAAATAAGATAAGATCTGAATTTAGCTAATAAAGTTAAAAAGATGATTCACTCCATTAAAGATATAAAAGTTGATTACTCTAGTATCAGACAAATGATGACTTGAGTGATTACAAATGTCAAATGCTAAAAACCTACCCAACCATTCAGACTTTATAAAAGTTGATTGCTCAATGTCCACGGGAGTGCTTAAAAGCAACGCTTTCTTATGGGACTTGCTTGTAACTTTTGAAACACGCCCGAGAACAATTTGTGAGGTTCCTTGCCATCTTGCTTCAACCCACCAAGAACAACCCATGCCCATCTACCCAAAAATCAATTCAGCGTTCCATTAAAAAAATCATTTTGTAACAGCTCTTTCCTGGTGGCATCGGATCTTATATTCAACATTTTTATTTTTATCTTAAAGTCATTTTAATATGGTTATCAATTAATATATGTTAATTATTTTAAATCTGCTTGATTACTTAGCTTTGCCCGTTGTAGCCTAATTTTGAGTACTTCATTTGTTTTCAATTCACACCCAGCTTGAACACCAGTGTTTAATGATGTCCTCTAGCGATGTTTTTTCAAGGTTGAAAGCCTTGCCGTTTGACCACTTTAATAAGCTCTAGAAGAGAGTGGAGATCTTTTTTGCTGCGTACTTTTTTGACTTGAGAGGAATCGGACTCAACATCTAGATTCCGAGGCCTCTACCCTTTGAAATTACACGGCGTTGGATTGTTTTTGGGATGGCTGTAGCTGTTTTTTAAAACTATTTTAAAAAGATACAGGTTGAAAATACCACATTGAAGCCAGCCCAACAAAATATAATGATCATTTTTTAGTTCTTTCCCCCTAGAGCTTCCAGCCCTTGAGTCGAGGCCCTTGATCTCCCATAGCTTAGCTCCTACCTTTCCCATCATTTCGTCCTCTCTACAACAACCGCTTCCACACCTACATTCTCTTATTCTACCCATGTTTGGTTTTGGCGACAAGCTCACAGAAGGCGGCTATAGAATTCCCTGGCTGATATGGATCCGAATATTAGTCTTGTTCCTCCTCATCTTTCTCCTATTCTGTCCCAATTTCTTTCCTTCAGATCTTTCAGACACCACCACCTCTTCTTCCTCAGCTTTACCATCCGCTGTTGGTGTTTTCATGCCCCTTAATTCCCATTTAGACAAGCAAACACTCAAGCATAAGAACAGGGGGAGAAGAAGGGCAGATCGGGGTTTCTAAACAAAACGGCATCGTTTTGGTAAGTGTGTGTGTATTCCTGGTTTCGCCCAGATTATGCCTGGTCACTCGGGTTGACCCGGAAGGTCACCTGGGTTTAGCCTGGTCAAATGCAACTCTGGTTTTCATCCATGTAAAAACTGGCCACGACCCCGGGTCTGGGTTAACCCGCCCGGTATATTCTAACCATAACTTCTAACCTACCAGTCTTACTTCTATTTTGCAAGTTCGGCGTCATTCTCTAGCCTGTTCAATTCTTTATATACCGCAAATATCCTCTTGCACACACGCACAGGAAAAACTTACTCTAAACAATGCAAAAGTTTTACCTCGACCTCCTCTTCGCTGTCTTCTTCATCACCTTCTTCATTTCCATTATCGTTCACAAACATAGATCAAAATTCAAACACCCTGACCTTCCTCCTGGCAGTTCAGGCCTCCCTTATATTGGGGAGACCCTTGAGCTCTTGTTGACAGGATGCAAAGGCCATCCTGAAAAGTTTTTCCTTGATCGTAAAGCTAAATATGCATCAGAAGTATTCAAAACAAATCTTTTCTGTGAGCCTGCAGCAGTCTTGTGTGGTGCTAAAGGTAACAATTTCTTGTTCTCCTATAAGAACAAGGATCTTAAAGCTTGGTATCCCGACTTTGTGTGCAAAATATTTCCCTCTTCAGTTCAGAGGTCACTCATTGAAGAAGTTGATCGACTGCGCACTTTGCTCCCTGAATTTTTGAGACCTGATGCCTTGAAGAGATACGTTGGCATCTTCGATACGGTTGCCGGAAGACACTTTGCATCAGAATGGGAAAATAAAGAAGTGGTGGTTGTGTTCCCTCTGGCAAAGAGCTTTACATTTGGGTTAGCTTGTCGCTTGTTTCTTAGTATTGAAGACCCCGACCACATTTCAAAACTTGCTAGCCCATTTAACCTTGTAGTTTCGGGCATTTTTTCTATCCCAATTGATTTACCTGGAACTCCACTCAACCGTGCCATCAAGGCCTCAAACTTTATTAGAACAGAGCTTTTTGCGATTATTAAGCAAAGAAAAAAAGATCTAGAAGAGGGAAAGGCATCTCCCGAGCAAGATATATTGTCACACATGCTGTCGGCATGCGATGACAAGGGAGCATTTAAGAGTGAGCTAAACATTGCTGACACAATTCTTGCACTATTAGCCAGTGCACATGAGAGCACCAGTGCGGCTTGTGCATTCATTGTCAAGTATCTTGCTGAGTTACCTCATATTTATGAGGGAGTTTACAAAGGTACGTGTTGTTCATAACTCCATACTCTTCCTTACAAATATCTTTATATAGAAATCTCTAACCAACAATTGAGTTACATATAATTTTGTTTATAATTGTATTAGTAGGTGAAAATAATAATATAAAATCATCCTTCAAGTTTCTCTTAGCTTAATATTCTATGTTGAGATCTTATTTGATCATCTAACAATTTAATTTTTTAAAATAAGATGATTTCCCCCCTCACAGTAGAGTCTTTTTTATTAAATATTGATGGGCTTTCATTGATTGATGTGTAATGGTGAGCAAAATAGCGTTTGACTGATTTTTCTTTCTCTTGTCAATAGAGCAAATGGAGATATCTGGAACCAAAGCTCGCGACGAGTTGTTAAACTGGAATGACATTCAAAATATGAAATATTCTAGGAAAGTAATTCGTGAAGTGTTGAGACTTTGTCCAACCTTTCCTAATGTTAGAGAAGCCATCCACGACTTCTATTTCAAAGGTTTCTTAATTCCGAAGGGCTGGAAGGTAAGTTTTTTTTCTAAATATTGTTTGTGTGTTCTTCTGCTTATCGTTTTCCAAGTTTATCATCAACAAAAACTCAAAAACGAATTTAAAATTAAGAATGGGTCGTTAGTTTTTTAAAAGATAATGTAGTTAGTTGATGCTGGAAGACTCTATACTATAATTATTGGGTATTGATTGGTCCAAGGATCTAGCAACATCAAAATTTGACCGTCAGAACTAGCCACTACAAAGTTTGACAGTCAGAGTCAGAGGCTCATTATTACGCTGACAAGTCTGCTGATGATGCCGACATTCGACAGTCACAATCATTCATCACAATTTTTCTTTGTGGGCATGCATGCAGGTGTATTGGAATGCAAACTCGACGCATAGAAATCCAGAATACTTCCCAGAACCCGAAAGATTCGATCCTTCCAGATTTGAAGGGAACGGACCAGCTCCTTACACATTTGTTCCATTTGGTGGAGGACCCATGATGTGCCCTGGACGTGAGTTTGCTCGAATAGAAATGCTTGTTTTCAT